GACACACCTGCCGCTGCCCGGGGGATAGGACGACCGCTGCGGCCCAGCATGACACACCTGCCCGCTGCCCGGGGGATAGGACGACCGCTGCGGCCCAGCATGACACACCTGCCGCTGCCTCGGGATAGGACGCACACATAGCTCGTGTCCTGTCGGCAGCAGAGACCACGGTGGTGCTCTTCGAGTCCGTGTCCTGCCTGCAGCGCCAACGACTGACAAGCTTTCATCGCAATCAGGGATCACTGAAGCGGCCGCAGCCCTCACCGCTTCTAGTCTCGGGCGGTGATCAAGCGGCGCCGCCTCTCAGCGGCACTACCAGCGGCCGAGTCCGACATGTTGTGACGCCGCCGCATCCAGACCCGTCCCGTCACTCGCCGACGGTGCGCACCTGCACGCGGCGGCCCGGCCGCCGACCGGGCGCGCCGCGTCGCGACCGTCGCGGCCACGCGCCGCCGCCGCGCCCGACCGGCGTCGATAGAGACGCGCCGCGTCGGCGCCGGCGGCCGGCCCGTCGTTATCCGGCGGCACAAGCGAACCAGACGCTTCCGGGAGTCGGCCGCGTGCCGGGCGAGCCGCGCATAATTGGGCCGCGAACCTCGCGGAAATACCCTCGCCGCCCACCGCCGCCACCACCAGTCACACCGTAATGTGACACCAGCTCCCGGTCTTGGCGACGTCTCTGTGTCCACACAGCACCAACTCTCGTGTCCCGGTGATGGCTTTGTTTCGACACAGCATGAACTCCCGTGTCCTGGTGATGGCTTGGTGTTGCCGCAAAAAAGATCACCGTGTGCAAGTTCATGCCAAGCCACGACGCAAGTCTTGTGTCGTTGGTAAGGCTTGTGATCTGCGATGCCGATCTTCATGTGTTGCTGCAATTACATCCTGCTGGATATCATCCCGCAGCACTTACACGCAGCGTGGCAGACAAGAGCTCTTCGCCTATGAAGAGAGACGTTTACATAACATTCCTCGCTCCCAACTCCGACGACGCCTCTCCCCCTCCCCGGAGAGATCAATTGCACTCCAAGTGTGACTGTCTGAGGCGTGGCGGCCGAACGGGGCCGCCCAATGCAGTTCAAACGTGCCCTGGCGCCGCGCCGCTCCCCCAGATCTATTTTTGCCAAACATCGGCGCTTCTGACGTTTATGACGCGTGAGGCGTGTGAGCGCGCCGCCAGTTCCTGCCCCACGCACCGCTGCGCATCATCACGGCGAGATTCGAGATCACCAGCGGCGGCTGACTCCACCTCCGACGTCAGCGGCGCCTGTCTGCCACCTGCTGATTCCGCCTCGGCTGGGCGCAGGCGCTGGTGACCGAGTGGCTCCGATTCTCGCTGGCGGATGATGCCGCGCCGCCGGCCGGAGCTCTGCTGGCTACGCCGCCGGCTCTGCCGCCGCCACCGCGAGCCGTCCGCCAGATAAACTCGGTCTCCCGCTGCGGCGGCGACCGCCGCTCGATGTACGGACGTGGTGGCCGGAGCGGCCCGCGCTCGTCGGCCCCAGTGGTGTGGCAGCCGTCGGATGCCGGGTCTCACCTGTACACACCGCGGGAGCCGGCTATGTTCCGGCAGGTGTGGCGGGCACGTCCCGTGGTCGGTACCCAGGCAGAAGTGACGGGCACGTCCTGTGGTCGGTACCCAGGCAGAAGTGACGGGCATGTCCTGTGGTCGGTACCCAGGCAGAAGTGACGGGCACATCACGGTCAGCGGCCGGCCGGACGGTAGTGCAGCGGGACGTGACACCGTGCTTGACATCCCAGCGCCCCCCCCCCCCCCCTAGCGAGCCGACCACGGTCCGGTCCTCTGACCGGGCCGGCGACAGATTTAGTGCGTCACCCCGTCGTCCGGCTGGGGCTGGCCGCATTCTGCCGACGCGGCGAGCTGCCCGGGTCCCTGTCGTCATCGACGTGCTTCTGCGGGTCGGCCGATGGCTGGCTGACGGCCGCGCGCTGCGGTCGCCCCGCCCGCGCGTCGGCCGCCGCGCCGCACCGGCTCACTCATCACGGCGCGCAGCAGAGGACCGCCGTCGGCTGCCCATGTGGAGACAGTGTGTAGCGTCCCCAGACAAAGTGTGGGAAGCCGGCTCCGCATACGACGGCTTTTCAGTCGGATGATCTAAGCAGAAGAGGATATATGATGCATCTGTAGTTTACACGGCTACAGATTAACGCTGCGACACTCAAGATGGCAGTTCCAAGCTAGATAAGTTCTCACCACTAAAGACTGATAGGCCCGTGTGTCCGTTCTGTAAATCTCCGGTCTCGTCACACCCAGGTCAGGGCATGCCATCCCACATCAGACCAGAGCACACCGGGGAAACCAAAGGTTAGAGCAGATCATAGGCCAAACAAAATAAAACCAGGTCAGACGAAATCAAGCCAGTAAGCCACACTCAAACAACCAGACCTAACCGATCTCGAGCAAGTTTGCGTATATAAGTGGCTTTGCGCGGAACGTCCAAAGCCACCAGAACAAGTGGTGAGCAGAGTATTTATCGAAGTATAGGGATGTTGGGATGAAAAACGGTGAGTCGCAAACGGCAGTGGATCTGGAAAAGGCGGGGAGGGGGGGGGGGGACAGCTCTTACTCCATAGAACAACATTGGTGATAGTCCCTATGGCAGTGAATGAAAAGAAACTAGGAAAAATAGTGTGAGCACCCCATCACCACAGAGGTTCGACCGTCGCTGCGCCTGATGGTCTTGTCGGTGTGATTAAAATACACAACGGTCGAGAGAGGCGTTGGCGGCTTTCAACCCCGCATCGACAACTCCTGCGGCGACCGGACTGTGTGCGCCTCCAGCCTCCCAAAACAGACTGACCAAAGCCGCACCAGCGCGCCAGGCAGCAGGGACAGCCGAACACTCGGCAGTATCTAATCTGAGACGAGGATTTCGCCGAATGCCGTCCTCTCCCGGTCTCCGAGCCGGTCTGGTCACATCCTTGATCCTGCGAACCTAACTGAAAATAGAGTTTCGTTCTACGCCGCGAAGTGCAACGATCAGGGAGCCCTAGAAGGCAAATACATGGTAAAGACGCACTTAATTGATTTGGGGGACGAGAGCAGAAGACGATGCTGGACGTGCAAAGCAGTAGCTATATGCCGTTTCCATCCTGTGTGTCTCGCCACCAAAACACCGTGACGACCATTACCACCGTGGCAATTGTGGCGACCGTGTTCTGCCCCGCTAATTGCTTGCACATGTGACGAACGACGCATGGGTGGCGGTGACTTGGTCATGACCGCTGGTGACACGGGCATGAGAGACGGCTGGCGGCGTGACGAAGGGGCCCACGCGTCCGCACAGATCGGGACAAGTCCGCCTGTATTGATCAGCGTGCCGCACAACAATGTATTGATCCGGTGTGAGAACCTGCGTCATGAGACAATTTTCCATGACATTGTGGACACTGTCAAATCTTTAATTTCCGGACCTTCTCCAGCCTGTACGGAAAGCCGGTTGCTGCAGATACTATTTTCGTATGGTGTGCATACAACTGAGGTTATCTTAAGGCCGCGTGGTTTCGTGCTGAAGGCTCGTCTCTCTTCTGCAGCTGTTTTCTGTTATATTTGTGACGCTCTTATTGTAGTCCATTTGCCAAGGGTACGGCAAATCTGTGTGGATCTCCTCTATTGAACGGCCGGCTCTCGCGGAGGCTCTAAGTCCGCATCAGATCTTCTCCCTGGAACAGCAGCGCCGACTGACGCTGGCGTAGATGTCCCGGACTAGCTCTGGCGAATCTCAAGAGGGGGCGTTGCGCCATGGCCATCCCAGGACGACAGCAAAAACTGTGCTTCTTTCCGGCTCAACCTCTGGATAGCTAGCGTCACGTTGGGAACTTGCTCCTCCCTCAGATATGACCGTGAGCCCGCTCCCTCGCGTGGCTGCCGACCTGTTCCGAGCCGGCCGGATAAATGGTTCTTGGCTAAACGAGCCAACGTTTCGAATGTCAGTACCTTCACATGAGATTCTGAAGCCATTGCTGCCATTGTCATAGCCAAGCCATTGCACTGTCGCACGCCATCACTCTGTATTGACAGCTTCGCCGGCTGCTGGAGTTTGACATTTCGTCCGAAGATTGAGCCTGTCACACAAGAGAACATGGACTGGGGAACGAATGCGACGCTGGCCCAATCACCCTTTACGAAAATTAAGCGGCTATCCTGTGGCGTTTTTCACTTATCTACCTTCCTTTCTATGAGTCTTCATTGCATCAGAACGCGAAAACGTCTTTTATTTCCGTAACTGAGCCGTGATACCAAGTGAGGCAATTAAATGCTTTTGTCATGGCGATGGTAAAAGTGTCGTACAACGGATTCTATTTCCGTGTTGCAGACATTTCACAGCCCTGTTCAAGTGCCGCAGAACTGTGCCAGACTCCGTTTCTGTGTCACAGAGGTGCGACCGCCTCTGGTCCTGCCACACAGAAGTGGGGCAAATCCCGCTCATATACCCTTGGAACGACATCACTACCCGGAGCCAGAGGCGTGAAACAGACCCCGTGTCTATCCTGCAGAGGGCCGGCGGACCCTGCTCTTGTCCCGCAGGCTGTGACAGGTCCCATCCCTCTATTGCTGACGTGTGACGGCCCGTTTTTCTGTGCTGCAGGTGCGCAATGGCGGCGCGTGGCCCGCTACGGCGCACGGGCAGCCTGGACAGGCCGGGCAGCGAGGAGCGGCGCAGCGTCTCCAACATCCGGCAGCAGTTCGAGGCAGGCCGCGCCACCAAATGCCGCAACCTCAGCGACCCGGAGAGTCTGCAGCGGCAACCGGTGCGGCCGGCGGCAGGGCCGGCGCTCAGCCAGACGCACCACAAGTACCTGGAGCCGCCGGCCACGCTGCGCGGCCGCGGCGTACCGCTGCCTGGCATGCAGCCGCTGATGCGGCCCGGCGGCGCGCCGTCGGCTGACCCGCTGGCGCTCCTGCGCGCGCGGCCGACTGGCCCGCCGCCGCCGCCGCTGAACCCGCTCTCGGCCTCGCAAGTGCTGCAGGGCACGCGGGCAGCGCGTGCCGCGCCCGTCGCCGGCCACAGCGAGGAGATGCTGAGCTGCATCACCAGGAGCGTGACGTCCATCGCTCAGCGCAAGCGTCACCACTCGAACCCGACCGGCGCCGCGGACGCCGCGCCGCCGCTGGCGTGCGATGACCTGCGACGGGGGACGGCCGCGTACCCGACAGACGGCCGGGAGCTGGCGAGGCAGCTGCTGAATCAGGGTCCGCGGTACTTGTATGCCGGCGCCGAATCGCGTCAGGACGCGGTGCCAGATGGTGCGGCATCGCTTGGAGCTGCCACATCGCCGTTGCAGACCGCTGCCCCAAACACCGGAACTTTTTCTGGCTCTAGCTCCACTGCTGGGAAATCGTTCAGCAACATATTCTACCAGGTTGCCAACCTGACGCCGAAGGGTCAGCACCATGACGTGTCCAGCGTCCCTTTCGTGACCACGGAGCAGCTCGTTTCTGTCGGACCGGAGACGCCATTCGCGTATGATTCACTGCGCAAGGCGACGCCGCTAGCCCAGCCGGTGCAAATCACGGATCAGATGCAGAGCTCGGTGGGAATCGGCTCACACCTCAGCGGAGAAACATCCACTTCAGGCTTTCCAATCGCAGGCAAACTCGGCCCATCGAACAGCAAAGCTGTGGAAACCGTTCCAACAACGCTACGGCCATGCGTCGTACCGAGCTCCTTCTGCTCGGCGGCCGTGCCGGGGCCGCCGTCCGGCGCCCGAGGGAGCCAGGCCTGGCAGGGGCGGCGGCGCGGCTCGGACCCTCCGGCCACGCCTGCGCTCACCGGCAGTCAGTCCTTCCCCCGGCGCTCCTCCATCACCAAGCTGGCGCAGCGGTTCGAGGGCCGGCCGATGACGCCTCATGCCGCGCCGGACCCGCTCGGCTCCTGGCCCGCCGCGGGTCAGGCTCCCTCCAGCGGGACGGCAGCCAAGCCGGCCAGGCCCGCCTGGCAGCTGATGTCTGCAGACGACGATGCGCGCCTCAGCGAGGCCCTGGCCCCGCCGGCTGTCGCTGCAGACTCAGGGCTGAGCACGGCCGCCGCTCCCCCACAGCGCCGGGTGAGGCACGCCTCCTGGACCGGTGGCGGGACGGCGCAGCCGCGCGTCATCGTGCACAAGATCAGCCTTGAGGCCACGCCGCCGCCGGGGCCGTCCAGTGACCTGAAAAACGAGACGGTACATGCCGCAAAGTCGATGACGACAGAGGCGGCCCGAGAAGATAGAAAACTGGATGTGGACCGAACATTGACGGTTCAAGATACGCTTCGTGACGCTCGCCTGGAAAACGTTCAGGCACCCGTGGAAGCTTCAGGCAATGATAAGTCGTCCCCGCCCACACTAGAGTTCCCGCCTCCTCCACCCCCACCGCCGCCGCCCCCGCCTCCACCCCCGCCGCCGCCGCCTCCGCCAGGGCCGAACGGCAGCGAGCTGCCGAAGCTGCTGATCCCGCTGACGGACACGGCGGCCGAGCTGGACGGCGAGGGGGCCCGTTCGCCGCGCCAGTACACGGGCGTGCGTCTGGCGGCCGTCACCGACGCCATCCTGCAGGACCGCATCGCCAGCCTCAGCCCCGTGGCGCCAGACAAGACGGCCGCCGAGCCCGGACAGCAGGGGCCGAGCTCGCCGCAGTCGGGTGTCGGGAGTGGCGCCGACAGGTCAGAGTCGCAGCATGCGGCCAGCGCCGGAGACCGGGCGGACCGGCGGGCACGCGGGGCTGATGCCCCGGCCGGCGGGCTGCACAAATCCAAGTCCGCCGGGCAGGCGGCGGGAAGGGTTTCTGCGATGGCCGACAGATGGAACCCGAATAGGTGTGACGGAGCATGTCCCGCGACGGAGGTCATGTCGTCAGCTGCAAAGGGCGCCCCAGGGCAAGATAAAGCTCGGCCGGCTCACGGCGGCGCGCACCCGCTGGCTAGGCAGTGGAGTCAGCAGGCGGTGTCTGTGGACGAGTCGAGGACGATACCGGTGGCCTTCCTCCGACGGGGCACGTCGCCCGCGACGACTGCCTCCAGCGCCGGAACGGACTGTCGCGAGCCCTCGAGAGTGGTTGAGGTTCGGCGAGACACGGCGCCCGAACAAACCGAGAGAAGGGGCGCTGGAAACGAACGGGCACCCCAGCCTGCGGTCTCTCTTCAGGGAACAAGCTCGCAGACGACGGCACCATCGACGTCAGGTCCCTCGGCGCAGGCATACGCCCGACATGCGGTGCTGTCTCCGACCAGAACGCTTCCGCTTCAACAGGAGGCCGTGGAGTCTAAACACCCAGCCCGAAGTCACCTGAAAGGGTCAGAGGCTTTCATCACTCGGCAGCCTGGTGGGATGACCAAGGTCTGCGGGAATGATGGACAGCAGACCCACATGTTGGACAAGAAGGGGGAGGAGCTGCAGGCGCAGAAAAAATCTGGACAACAGCAGCAACTTCAAATGCAGCAGCAGTCTAAGCAGAGACAGCGACTGCAAGATCACCAGCAGACCGGGCAGCAGCAGCAACAGCAGCAGCAGGAGCAAAGTGCACCGGTTATTCAAACTGTAGCAAGAAATGCGCAGATGTTTGGTGAGTTATCGCCGGTGGTACTCAAGCGTGGCACATCAGTTGACAAGGTCAGAGCTGGTCAGGAGGAGCCATCCCAGCCGGTGTCAGCAGATCAGCACGACTTCTTCACACGACAGCACTCTGCCGAGCCCCACCCGCCTGTGGGAAGTCAGCAGCAGCAGACAGCACGGTCGTTCCTGCCTGCTTCGTCAGTGCGAGAGCAGCTTCCGCCAACATCCCTGGCAGGTGTTCAGAATCCGATGTCCCACACAGCACCGCATGCTCCGCCGTCGGGGGTAACGTGTCCTGTGCGCCGCGAGGTGCACGCAGAGCACCAGCAGTCGAGGAGCTCCGCAGAGCACCAGCAGTCGGGGAGCTCCGCAGAGCACCAGCAGTCGGGGAGCTCCGCAGAGCACCAGCAATCGAGAAGTTCCGCAGAGCACCAGCAGTCGAGGAGCTCCGCAGAGCACCAGCAGTCGAGGAGTTCCGCAGAGCACCAGCAGCCGAGGAGCTCCGCAGAGCACCAGCAGCCGAGGAGTTCCGCAGAGCACCAACAGTCGAAGGGCTGCACAGAACACCAGCAGCCGAGGACCTTCGCAGAGCACCAGCAGCCGAGGAGTTGCGCAGAGCTGCAGCAGCCGAAGAGCTCCACAGAGCACCAGCAGTTGAGGAGTCCCGTGGAGCACCAGCAGTCGGTGCCTCAGCCGCCGGCGGCTCACGAGGAGCCTTCGACAGCGGCGTCTGAGCCCGTTCAGCCGTCCCTACCACCGGCAGCGGCCTCCGAGCCCGCCCAGCTGGCCCTACCGCCGGCAGCAGCGCAAAAGGGCCAGCCACTCCAGCAGGTCGGTCAGAGGGCGGCCAGAGCTGAACGCCGCAGACACCGGAGCAATACCGCTACGGACACCGAGACCGGGCCTCCAGTGTCCGAATGGGACAGCACCCCGCCAGGCGACGAATGGGAGTCACCGCCCGCGACTGAAGCACCGCCTCACGTGGCGAGTGAGGCTGCCGTGGACGAAACTGTGGTGGCCGCCACCTCCGCCGGCGTGCCTCCCCTCGTAGAGCAGAGCAGACGCCATCCTCCGGGTCTCGACCGCTCGGAGCCTGCAGTCACCGTCTATGCATCTACCAACGTGTCGCCCGGACCGCCCGCGGGCACGGAGCGGTCGACTCCGGGCTCTGCAGCGTGTCCTCCGAACACTGCGCTGAAGTTGACACCGGGAGCCAGCCTGCCACTGTACGTGCAGTCAGCATCGACCGCGACCAGGTCCAGCACGGCCCTGCCGCCCGAGGGGAGCGTGTCGTCGCCACTGTCGTCGCCACTGTCTCCGCCGCCGCCCCGACCTGAGTTGCCGAGCTTCCTCTCCAACGGCATGTACCCAGCCGCCGGGGCTCAGCCAGGGCCCTGGGGCGGGGAGTGCACCGCTCCCGGAGGGGAGCCCAACCCCGCCGTCCGTGCCGAGTCCTGGCCATCTCACGCCGCTGCGGAGAGAAGGTCCTTGACCCCTGACCTGCGGTGTGACCTGGTGTCTGACGGGTCGAGTGATCTCGGCCGGGAGCAGAGGTGGCGAGTGATGGCGGACGAGCGTACCCACCCGGCCAGCCGTGGCGCGCAGGCGCCGCCGCCCGCCGCACCGGGCCCGCCGCGCTGCGTCGAGGCCTCGCCGCCGCGCGTCAAGCGCGTCAGCTTCTCCCGGACGCTGCCGACGCGGGACGACCCAGGACCCGGAGCCGGAGCCGGACCGGGCCGGCGCGCCCCCAGAGGTCGACGGTCGGCCGCCGCAGGGCGACCTGGACAGCACCGAGCTGACGCCAGGTCAGTCAGCGCGCCTCCGCGCGCGCACGCGCCGCCCCCCCCCCCCCCCCCACACAAAACTACCCACACCCACACACAAACGCCTACCCACACCCACAGCACCAACCCACACACACCCACACCCAAACCCCCCCCCCCCCACACACACACATCTACGCACCGAAATCCCACAAGACCGTGACACAAACCTTTGATTCCTCTCCCTCACTCACTACCCTTCCGCCTTTTCCTGGCGCACGGGATAACTCAACCGTTGACGTGCGTGGAAGCTAAACACGGACCCGACCTGCATTCCATCTCATTAACGATTCTTCCGTCCTTCCTACGTTTTCACTCTCATGTAGACCCACGCACCACCTCACTCATAGACCCACGCACTACCTCACCCATAGACACATGTACTACCTGACCTATAGCTCCACGTGCTACTTCTTCATAGGCATAGCTCACTCAACTACAGACTTATCATGCACATTTATCCTTTTTGTCCTCCGCGCACCGGATCCTGCGCCTCTGTGCGTCTTGCCGCGTCGGATAGCAGTTTAATCGTAGCCAGTCATTAGAATGATATTTGCCCTCCAAATGTTCCGCCCTCACTCACTTTTCCTCGTTCTTGCTTGCCTTCCCCCGCTCACGCCGTCCCTCCCCCTCTTTCATGCAACACTCGCCTGCTAAACTCGGGCAACACAAGCATATCCATACTACGGCACGACATGTCCCGTGGGTTGAAACTCGGTACCTGAAGTTGACAGAGTGGTATCACGTCTTCCCTTCCCCACCATTTCAGTGTTGTAAAATGAAGTCTGCGCTCTCTTTCTCTCTCTCTCTCCTCGCTTCCTCTCTCTCCTCTCTCTCCCTCCTTCTCTCATCTCTCTCTCCCTCGCTCTCTCTCTCTACTCCCTCACCCTCACTCGCTTAGTCAGCTCTCTCTCTCCCTCGCGCTCTCCTCTCTCCTCTCTCTCTCTCTCCTCTCCCGCTCTCTCTCTTCTCGCTCTCTTCTATCTCTCTCTTGAAGCACTTAGTCATGCCCCGGGCTCAGCTGTGCGCGCCGGATAATCAGAAGCACGACACCGCTTCTCTTTTGTCATTAGCTGAGTTTAAACTTTACAATTAATATGCGGATGAGCTAGAATTGCCTTCATTACCAAGTTGAGGAAAAGGCCTTCCAAAGTGGGTACAGACTCGAATTAAGTTTTACCAGTAATGCAACTTTGTAAATGCCTTGATATTTTTCCTTGCAGCAATTCGTTCAAATAACGACGCCAGAACAGTGCGGTCCACTTCATCCGGTGCCTTGACGCATATGGCGCAATGTCTTGGTGAGACTACATTCGCAATATTTGTGTTTAACATTTGCCCATAGCCGCAAGGGTATATTTAAATGCGTCGCTCAGCACATGAATAGAAATAGGCTTAAACTGAGTGTTCTGAAGTTGACCATACCTTCCATCTGTAGGCTTCTGGGGCGCCGTGCAGCTCTGATTACTCTTATTAGATGTCTGGTTATTCGAACCTGCGAGGTCTTTGAGAAGCTATCCACGCATCTCGCCATTAATGCCTGGGTGTCTGTCAGACTTTCTGGTCTGTTTCCCTCATGTCATGTCATTGTCGGTATCCTCCTGCCACGCCTCCTGTACACCAACCACTCCTCTATCACACCAACGACACTTCCTCCACCACAGCCACGCCTCCTGCTCACAAGCCACGCCTCCTTCACACAAGCCACACCTCCTGCACACCTGCAATGTCTCTTTCACACCAGTCACGCCTTCTCGACCACAGCCACATCTCCTGCACACTAGACACGCCTCCTGCACGCAAGCCACGCCTCCTGCACACCTGCCACGCCTCCTGCATACCTGACACGCCCCCTGCACACCAGCCACGCCTCCTGTAACCTGCCACGCCTCCTGTCCCATCTGTCGCGCCTCATGCCCACCTGCCACGCCTCCTGCACACCTGCCACGCCTCCTGAACACCAGCCACGCCTCCTGCAACCTGCCACCTCCTGATGGTGATGTTTCGCGGCGGCGCCAATAATATTTGAAAATTGGCGTCGCGTTGTTTAGTTGAACGGCGCTGGCCATTTTGAATATTTTATTTTATCTTTGAAAGGTCGCCCACCTTAGCCGTTGCCTTGTGCAAGTTAGCGGTATCTCCGATTTACGATATCCTATCGATGTCTGAACCCTCTCCGTGGCGATATTATTTTGTATTGTCATGAGCTGGATCTTAATGCTGGCGTCTCAAGACATAATTGCCGTGTAAACAAGCTAAATCACTTTAATCGGGTAACCCAGTGGTTGATTGATATGTGACGACAGAATGACTAAGACAGTTTATTGATGTCCGTAATGGAATTATCCAAAAGTGGAGAAGTCATCGATTCTTAGTACGAACGTCACTTAAAACCAGCCCCTGGCCATTCTGCACTGCTGGAGAGCATGTATCTCCAACAGTCTACTTCGCCTCGGTGTCCCTTGGGTTCATGCCCTGACCTTGCGCTCGAATAAGACCTCGGTAGCACCTATTCGCAAATATATCATTAAGGCATCATGGAACACAAGTTCGAGATGAAATAAAGCAGCATCGACATCTGAATTTTGACACTGCGGGCATGTTATGGGGATGCGGCCGGGCAGTGTGCTGTGAACAAGATTGACGGTGTCATAGGTCTCCTCCGAGAAGCGCGGCGGAGGATATATTTCATTGGGCCTTGCCGTGGTTCTCACCTGACATAGTTCCATGCATGTTTGCGCCTCGTGCAACAAACAGGCATTACAAACATTTTACAACAACGACCAACATTTTACGCGCGGTGGACGGGCCCTAAAAATTACGCACGATGGAGGGGGGGTTGCGAATCTCGCAACCCCCGCCCCATAACCATCTCCAAAACCGTATTAGGTAGAGTAAATTAACTCGCAGCGTGGGTGGGTATTACAGGAAACCACATTTTGCAACACATATCATGATCCTAGGTCAATATCTTCAAGGGGTCAAATGAGGTCAAACATGTCAAGTTTTGAATGATTTGCATGGCTTTGCTTGAAGTTATTGAGGATCGCTACGATTAAAAAATGTACTAAAATGAAACCAAGCCATGTTGCTGACAAGATATCCGATAGAATAACTATGTAGCCATTGACCTCACATCATTTATCCGCCCATAAGTTTCGATGGATGTCAGGGAATGCACTTTTTGAGGTTTAAACCGCAAGGGTGCTCACAAATTTTGCAAGAAGGTGCTGCTCATTGAGAACTGTTTTGTGCAGATTCCAAATTGGTGGTCATGGGGCTTCCATTTAATATTTGTAATGCCGAATTTTTACACGTTTAGCCTGCTTTTAGACGATGCTCTCAATTTGCGTATGCTTCTCAATTGATATAAGGTGAGAAGAGACGCCTCGAGAAACGTCAGCAACGCATTTTTTTTTTGCTAGGAATGATTCATCATCATACACTGAAGTGCGCGCTACTCTTCAGCGCCCAATGGGCGCGGGAAAAGTGCAATAGCTGATAATGCTAGCTAACAAGGTGGCACTTCCTCGCGGCACGCAATGCAGGTCACCGCACTGCCGATTGCACGTACAGATTGCATGGTTGCACACTGCCGTGAGGTTGATCCATACTGATCCCAATGACCTATTATGGACTCGATCTGAACTGATCTCGTTGACCCAACATGACTTTTGCATTATGCCGTACAGCAGTGCGCATGAAATGTCGCCAGTGCGTCAGGAACATTCCACTGCTGCCGGTACACTGGGAGCGCATCGGCGCTTATTCTTACCCCCCGACGCTGGCTGCGTTGTTGACTTTGTCAGCCTGCAACTTCGCAACTGCTCGGTCAATCTTCTTCTTATTTGCTTTAACACGCTGGGGTCAATTAACGCGGTGGTTGGAGGGGGTCAGTTTGACCCTGATATTTTTTTCGGGATGGTTTCCAAACCGCGTGGCGTAGTCTCGCCAAATTTTGCATACTTGTAGAACATTGAATAGTGGACTGCTAAGTATCACAAAATTAGGCACACCTTGCAAGATCAGTCACCTACAGCAGGTCAAAATCGGGCCATGGATTCAGTGAAGACGTGTTTTAGAGAACTGTTCAATCCTATGCAACAACGAAGCGTTAGACGAAGCCAGATATCTCTGAGATAGTTTTTTTGGCAACCCAACAATTTGATAAGCTAATTTTATTGACCTAGGGTTAGGTATAAAGGTTAGATCAAGACCAAAATCAACCTGCTTTATTGCTCTAGAGCTTGCTGTATGTCGTAGTCTCTGATGCTCATTTCGAATTTATTAATAACAGGAATCGCATTATGCATCTTCCGTTGGCTTCTTGTTGGTTCGAATAGGTTACTAACCTAAAATGACCCATGTCATTATTCGTTTTCAGGAGCATACTGCCTAGCGCAACCTTTGATGCTTATTCAAGTCCAAAACACAAAACAACCTGATATGACTTTACTATGACTTCCGAAAGGTGAAACAAGGTCATTGACCTTAAATGAGCACCAGCGACTTTTTGCTTAGGAGAGGCATCTAGGTTCTGGGGCACTTTGGACACCAGTACAATCTTTGATGCTGTTTGACCTTATTTGACCCGGAGGTCATGACCTAGGAATCTCAATATTTGACACGAGTGAGTTGTCATACAGGCCAACACACTCTGTGAATTTGGCATTGCTGTCTCTCTTATTTTCTGAGATCTCCGTGGAGGGTGTCAAATTCCCCCCCCCCCCCCACCCAACCCGAGCAGAGTATTCAGTCGGCCGCCGGGGCGCGTCTTAAACAACGCGCTAGGATTTCATTAACGGATAGACAAGAACAGATATAGATTTGTCCATTCACCCCGGACTTCACTCAGCCAGCCACCTTTTGTCTTACTCAGCCAATACTCAGCCATTGACCTGGCCGACTGAGCCTGGCTGAAATGTTGAGTCGCTTAGAGGTGCAGGAAATTTGGATTTGTTACATACATCCTCAAAAACTTCTGAAATATGATGTGAAACGAAGTTGAATAGAGTTTATTTTTTGACATTTTGACATTTGCCATCTTTAGTTAGACGTTACCGACGGTGCAAAAAATCCGGCACCACTCACCAATTGCTTTCTTCTCGAAATTGTGGATGTCTTCATTTGTATACATTATTATTTAAAGCACCCTACCAGTGGCATTGCCGTATCGTGTGATACTCTTTCGACCTTTCTATCTAAATGGGCTCCCTTAGCATCGTAAGTGAAATTCAAATGCTATTTTTGGAGGAAATTCGCTTCTTTTTGTTCGGTGGAGGGGTGGTGGAGGGGACAGTCGAACGGCTCAGTCTTGAAAGGAACATTTGTCAAAATCTGATAAATTTGGTGGCGCTCTAAGCGTAAGATAATTCATCAACATCTTAACTCTCTTCCAGAGAAACAATTTTTAGACCTTTTCCCAACGTGGCGACCTGAAAGCCCATCTTGCTTACTTTTGAATTGAGACAGATAGAATATCGCGAAAAGCCATCGTGTTACTCCTTGCCTGAGCTATTTAAACGCATTTGTTTTACTTCGAGGTCAAGGTAGCTACTTTAAACATACAACATGTCCTCACCGGTGTCACGGCAAGAGTATTAAACAGCTTTATAACCACCTGTGCGCTTATCGCTATCTTCTGGTTCTTACGATGTACGTGTTTTGACCTCGGCCATTGGGAAAACTGTCAGGTTGCAGAGTAATAATCGCTGCTGGCATGCTGTTGGTGTGCACGATGCAACTACGGGTATATGTCACACTGAACCATGTAGGGCAACGGGGACCGATGTGTCGATCATCATCTAAGCTGTACAACTGCGCGAGCTTTCGTTCTAGGTCAGTTTGTGACTTCTGAGGTCAAACAAGGTCATTAAGTTCACCGACGCTTTACATTACAATGTAATGGAGGTGTCTGATCTATAATTATCTGATAAACGCCATTTGATTTTCTGACACTATTCCACACGGAAATAATTGGGATTATGTGCATTTGACCTTCGTTTTTTGTTTTACATGAATTTGACGTTCGGTTTTAGTTTGACAGGCCAAACTGTCAGACAAAGCGTTTTCTCTATCTCGCATACGGTAACCAGCCACGTTACAACAACACAATACACGACATTTGGCCCAGCATGACGAGCTGTTTCCGCTGAACAGCAGTTGAAAACTAAGTGAGCAGCCTGTGTCATGTCAGCCGAGGTCACAAAGTCTTGTAAAGCATTTGGATAATAATCATAACCCGGGTGTTACGTGACGGAGAGTAAGGCTGAACAGAGGCCCTGAAGCTGCACTGTACGCGTGTTGCAAATACAATCCCAGGTTTGGTCAGGACAGCTCAGATTCTGCATTCAGTCACTGATAATTCCAGGTTGTAGCCTTGTCTCACCTGTGGAATGTAAGTGTCCTCTGCATGCAGTAACACCCAAGCAGAGTGTTAAAAAAATTGCCAATACAGCGCGTCTGCATCAATCAAGAACTCAGCTATGCCCATCAGCACTTCTTTTTCCATTTATCTGGCCCAGTTTGACTTGAATCCAATAAATTATCTGCAAATGATTGAACAATGCTCATCAGTATGACGCTGATGCAGTGGACCGTAAAAACATTCATCGCAAATGAAAATGCCATGAATGCCGCATAAAGAAACAACTGGGCTTCTTTGAATCAGCATGATCATCTGCCTTCGCACCTTCGAACACGACGCCTGACATCACCGACGTCAAACTCGGAGATTAAAGGAGATGACCTTATAATCTCCAGAAATGGCTGAGTAAGGGGCTTCATTGTCAGACTCTAAAAGTGACCTTTGCGCATGAGGTATCAAATCACATTACTGAAGACACCCTGTTAGTTGAACCACGATGCGTGTGTTCTTGTTGCAGGCGGACGAATGGTTTCCATTGAATAGCCGTTTCCCCAGGAGGTTTAGAATGTGTGAAATGAACACCTTTGCTTGAGCAGCATGAACGTATCTGACTAGCTGTCCATAATT